TAATCGCTTGAACCAGGGAGGCAGAGGTTGCAGTGAGCCGAGATTGCACCACTGCACTCCAGCCTGGCGACAGACCAAGACTCTATCTCAAAAATAAAAAAATAAATGTTCTTTATCTTCACTGTGGTAGTGCAGATGTGGGTGTGCACAACAGCTAAAATTCAACAAATTGAACATTTTAAATAGATGCAGTTTATTGTATGCAAAGTATGTCCCAATAAGATGATTTGGAAATATTATCCTCTGGCCAGGGGCGGTGGCTGATGCCTCTAATCCCAGCACTTTGGGAGGCTGACACGGGAGGATCACGAGGTCTGGAGTTCCAGACCAGCTTGGCCAACATGGTGAAACCTCGTCTCTACTAAAAATACAAAAATTAGCCGAGTGTGGTGGCGGGAGCCTGTAATCCCAGCTACTGGGGAGGCTGAGGCAGGAGAATTGCTTGTACCCGGGAGGCGGAGGTTGCAGTGAGCTGAGATCACCCCATTGAACTCCAGCCTGGACAACAGAGTGAGACTCCGTCTCAAAAAAACAAAAATAAAAATATTACCCTCTTTGAGATTTGTACTTTGCTTATGTAAAACAAAACAAAACAAAAGCCGTGTTCTTGGGCCCGGGAGACACACCCTGACACATCTGGAGGAAGAGGGCCATGCTGTCTGCCACTCACCCTCGCAGGCTCTGAAATTACAATCATAGCCGTGTATTTACAGACTCAGAGAGAGAGAAATCTACAGTAAAAATGTTCAGAAGTAAAACTAGACACATGGCAAAATTAAGAGAAATAATAAAACTGCGTATTTTAAATTTTAATCTCTCCTTTACTTCTCCCCCCTTTTCTTCCTATCTCTTCCCTCCTTTCTTCAACACACCCCTCCATCCTTCACTTCTTTTTTCACTCTCTGCCCTTGAACTCGGTGTATTCCAGCCTCGAAGCCAACACTCGTCAGCGCGTCCGCCTGGGCAGGTCAGGGAAGGGACGCGAGGCGGCGCTGTCTCCGCATTCTGTGAGCCGAGCGCCCTGGGCCCCGCGGGTCTTGTATCATTTCAGTGAAGGTCACTGCAGTCTTTGATGGAGGGTGTAATTAGGTCCTCACTGAAGTGGCGAGACCCTGAGGGGCTTTTTCCTGGCCCCTTAGTTGTGGGTTTTCCTGCGGGCGGTGGAGCCTTGTTTCCATCAGAACAGCCCAGAGGCGCTGCCTTCCTGGGGTGACAGAGCAGCAGGAAGCGTTTTCGGATCCAAGAATCCGTGGACGCCCGCGGGAGGGGCTGAGGTGCATTTCCCTACTCTCCCGGATCCGAATCCACCAAGTCAGAATTCAAGCGAGTCAGATTCCAGATCGCGCTCCAGCCAGGACTCGGAATTCCTGCTCCGCGGCTCTGCATTTTCACAGCGGCGAGTGTGAGTGCCCCAAAGCTGGAAACCAGAACCCTAAAAGCAGCTCGGCCCTCCCCAGCCCACAGCGCCATTATTTTGTTTCTATATCAGTAGACACGCTTCATTTTCCATGGACCAGGGCAGGGGTGACGGGTGGTCCCAGTCTTCGCAGTGAACTGCGGCAGAAGAATTCAAAAAGCTCGCGCCTGTAATCCCAGCACTTTGGGAGGTCGAGGCAGGCGGATCACCTGAGGTGGGGAGCTGGAGACCAGCCTGACCAACATGGAGAAACCCCGTCTCTACTAAAAATACAAAATTAGCCGGACTTGGTGGCGGATGCCTGTAAACCCAACTATTCGGGAGGCTGAGGCAGGAGAATCGCTTAAACCTGGGAGGCGAAGGTCGCCATTGCACTCCAGCCTGGGCAAGAAGAGAGAAAGTCCGATTCAAAAAAAAAAAAAAAAATCTTGCGGGAGTCGAGCCAGCTCCGCCCTGCGTTATGTAAGCGACTGCACTGAGCCCTTTCTCTTTGTTTTCCCAATCCAGCAATGGCGACTAAAGTCTGCAAGGAGGAAATCACTTCTGTGCTCATGAGTCTAGGAGTCTAAGGCAAGTGCTGTGGGAGAAAATGTAGTTGGTGGGGCAGAGCAGAGGGGGCTGGAGAGGGAGTGGAAAGGGAGGACTTCGGATAGAAGACCTGGGAGGCTTGGTGGGGGAGGGGATGCCAGGCCTGGGCGATGAGAAGCTGCTCACCTGGAGCTCAAAATCATCTCCGCCTCCCCTAGCCCGGGAGAGGACTGGCTTCACGTCTCCAAACAACCACTTCTACATGCCTTGGAACAAACCTTGCATATTTATTATTATTGAACTGTGAAAAGTCTTTTGGGGGGGTGAGCTGAATGAGACCCTATGCGGGAGCTGGCACACGGAGGAAGTCCTGGTGGGAGGGTAGACACTGGAGGGAAGAAGGGCTTGGGACCTTCGCCATGAGAGCTGGGTCCATCTCCCTCTCTGCCTCTCACTAGGCTTATGATCTTTAGCAGAGAAAATAATCTCTCTAAGGTGGGGGAAGGACCCTGGTCCCTGCAGTGCTCAATAAATTATGAGGATCAAAATAAATTATTAGTGAATGTTAATGAGAAAACTAAGAAATTGTTAAATTCTCTAATACATTACATTTTCATCCACAGAAAAGTGTAGGCTAGGGATCATAGGGAAATAGTTAGCAATGACAAGCATAGTTCAACTTAAAAAGATGTTTGTGAGGCTGACAAAGAAGAAATGGAAACAGTTCCTGATCCTGGAAGGTTCATAGTCTAATGGGGGAGGGTAGATGATGGCAAATGACACCTTGGTGTGGTGGCGCTCTCCTGCAGTTCCAGCTACTTAGAAGGCTGTGATGGGAAGATTGCTTAGGCCCAGGCATTGGAGGACGCAGTGAGCTATAATCACGCCACTGCATTCCAACCTGGGTGACAGAGTGAGACAAAAAAAAAAAAAAGATTCAAGGCAGGGCACAGTCAGTACCATCAGGAAGGTTGAAACCATGGCCTAGATCAGGAGTTCTAAAACTTGACTATACACTGGAATCACCTAGGGAACTTTAAAAGATACTAAGGTTTAGGTCCAACCTAGGTTAACTGATTTAACTGGTTTCGGCTGTGGCCTGGGAACACGGATATTAAAAACTCTCCATGTGGTTCTATACAGTGGCTCGGTTTGAAGACCACTGACTAAATGTCCCAAAGACTAAGAGATGTGCGCTGGGGACAAGGCAATTCTCTTAGTAGAAAGAGGCTTTCCGGACAGCATTATTTATTATTGAGAATTGAGAATTCATATGCCACAAAATTTATCCTTTTAAAGTGTACAGCTCAGTGGCTTTTAGCATAATCACAAGGTTGTGCCACCATCACAACATGAAAAGATTTTCTTCTTTTTTTTTAAGGCTAGTCAAGTGAAATAGTGGGAGTGAGTAAGAAACAAAGACATCCATAACTGGTTGTGATCAATTCGTTGTAAACACCACTACAGTCAGACCAGCCTCACTGGGAAGATTTTAAGGATACGGTGTGCTCTGATGGGCTCCAAGGCAGAGGTGACAGTAACCTGGACGAGGGACATGGCTTAGGCAGTGGCATTCTGGTGGCATAGGGTGAGGTGATCCCAGAGCCCACTTTTACTGCAACCCTGGGGAGATGTCACCAGAGAAATGGGGGTGGTGCCAGACAGCAAGTTTTCGCAGCTGTGGTTTCCATGGTAGAGTGGAAGCATCCTGTGTGACATTCAGCAGATGTGGCGCTGTGCTGGCTTGGAGCACTCTGGTTACAACTGGGGCAGGCACAGTGTTTAGGAAGCCGGTGCAGTAATCTAGGCTGAAGGGAGGGAAAAGCCTAGACTAAGGTAGTTGCTGTGGGATTGAAATAGGGTTGGAGGAGCTGACTTTGACTCCTGGAGATGAAGGGGAAAGAGGAAATCAGAAGGGACCAAGGATGGTGATGTTCTTAAGAGAAACGGAGTGATGTGGTGGGAGACGTGTAGAGAGTCCTTGTGGATCTGTCACATTGGAGGGCACTATGGTCCTGGAGGTACAGATGTCCTAAGGCAGGCTGGAAAATGGAGTCTGGAGAGAGTTTGGTGTTGTAGTGAACCATGGTGAGCCGCATCCTTGGCCCTATGATCAGCCAGGGACTGAATAGAGGGGCGGCCCTGAGAGACCTCAGACACCTACAGGATATTAGGGGGCGAAAGGGGACCTGGCATTGAGTCGAAGGGAAGAGAAGGAGATTCTAAAGCTGAAACGTCTAAGAGTTTGCCGTCTGAGCGGCGCCCCACCCTCTCTGCCCACGTGTGGACAAAGCTGTGCCCAAGTTCCCGCCTTCATTTTCACTGGAGGAGCAGTTGCTGTGCTTAAATATTAGCGCCGCCTTCTCCCCAGCTCCGCTCAGTCACGTCTGCTTCAGCAGCTGAGAGGGTGGCAACGTCGGGGCCATGCGGCTGGGTCGGGTCCTGCTGTTTCTGGCCGCCGTCTTCCCTTTTCCACCCCCGGGAGCCACCGCTGGTAGGTGGGGTTTCTGGCGGCCCCCCCCGGAGCTGCAGTGGCGGGGCGTTTCCGGGGGTCCAGGTGAGTAGGGGCCAGCGCGGTGCGGTCTGGGCGGGGCTCAGGTGCGGGGTCGGGGGTGCGGGGAGCTGGACGCGGCCCGTGGCCGCCACACCTCAGCCCTGCTTTCCCGTCTCTTTTCTGTCCTCCTTAGGACCGCGCGTCACCCGCCCCTGCATTTTCCTGTCCTGCACTTGCTCTCCTAGCCTCGCCTCCGCCTCTTCTCATTTTTCCGACAAACCATCCCTTCTGAGACCCCTGGGGTCCCGGGCTGCGCCCCCCACCCCGGGCTGCTCCTATGAATGGTATTTGAGAGCCCTCCCTGCTCGGCCACTGAGGCAGCCATATCTCCCGGTGCTGGGGGCGGCTCCCAGGTCCCTGAAGCCCTGTCCTCTCCCCGGAGCAGGTTCTCAGCTCCCGGGCCGCAGCTCCTGTATTTGACGCCCTCCTTTCTCGGGACCTGGAGCTGGTGGTGCTTTCTGCTGCTGTGGGGACTGTGGGGGTGGCTAGGGGGAAACGGGGTTGGAGGCTGCAGGCTGCGGGCAGAGGATTCTTCCCGCGACTTCTCTCATTCCCAGCTCATTCTCCCCGGCCTCCTACTCCCGGGGCGGTGGGCGGGGACGAGATTGAGGGGGTCCTCTCCACTCTGGCATCCCACCCCTACTAATGACCAGTGATCTAAGGACACCAGATTCCCTGCCCCTCCTCCCCTGCCCATCTCAGGGCCCCCTGGGTCCTGTTGCCCTCCCAGCTCCCTGCTACCCCTTCCTGTCTGCAGTTCTCTGATCCATTTCTAGGGTGTCCTCTGCCCTCATCCCCTGGCCCCACCACAGCAGGTTTCTCCTGCCTCCCCTATGGGGCTTTCCTACAAGCAGCCTTCACCCAGTGCTGCCCCTATGCCTCCCACTCCCAACTGTCACTGACCCTCACTTTCTCTTGCTGCCTTTTGTTGCGGGGGGAGGGTGCGGGGTGGGGGGGCCTTCTCTCCATCCCATTCCCCTCCAGACCACCCAAGGGGAGCCTTGGTGCCAATGACAGTTGGGTCTTAGGCAGGACACAGGGCAGCGCAGATGCCCCCTCCCCTCCAGTGCAGGTGCCTGCTCTGGTCCCTGCGTCATGTGTCCTCTCCTTTATCCTCAGCCTCACCCTCTGGAGGGCCTCACCCTCCAGCCCACAGGTGCTGGACCATCCCTTCCTGGTCCCTCTGACCCTCTCCACCTGGGGACCTTGTGTTGCTCCTACCTCTTGCTCACCTGCCTTGGGCCCTCAGCCAGTTCTCATCTTTCCCAAACCCCACCCCCCACAGAGCACCCTCCCCTCCTGTCCTCACCCTAACCCAAGTTCCTCCACAGTCACTCCTGCTCCACGCTCACGCTGCCTATCTGCCCACCCCCCACCCAGCCCAGACCTAAAACAGGCTGTTGGTCCCACTGTTCCTTGACCTTCATTCTTTTCTTTCGGTTCCTTGACCCCAGTGGGCTCTCACTCCCTACACCACATACCTAAAATCTTTGTTTTGCTGTTGGGGTGACTGTTCTCCCTCCAGCACTACTTTTGGCAAACCCTTCCTCAGGCTGGGGGTCTCCGCCTCTACCTTGGTTTTCTCTCTCTGGCCAGCACCCCCAACTCTTGCTTTTTTTTTTTAATTTTTAACTTTTGTTTGAGTATGTAGTACATATATGTGTATATATTTATGGAGTACATGGGATATTTTAACACAGGCATGCAGTATGTAATAATCACATTAGGGTAAATGGGGTATCTATCACAACAAGCATTTATCCTTTCTTTGTGCTACAAACAATCCCATTATGCTCTTTCGGTATTTTTACATGTACAGTAAATTATTGCTGACTTACCCTGCTGTGCTATCAACGAGATCTTATTCATTCTAACTATATTTTTGTAACCATTAACCATCCCACTCCGCACTCCCCACTGCCCTTCTCAGCCTCTGGTAGTCATCATTCCATTCTCTCTCCCCATGAGTTCAATTGTTTTAGTTTTTGGCTGCCGGAAAGAAGTGAAAACACTCAAAGTTTGTCTGTCTGTACCTGGTTTATTTCACTTAACATAATTATCTCTGGGTCTTTGCAAATGGCAGAACGGCTGAATAGTACACACACACATGTGCGCCACATGTTCGTTATCCATTTGTCTGTTGATGGACACTTAGGTTGCTTAGAGATCTTGGTTATTTTGAATAGTGCCACAGTAAACAAGGAAAAGTAGATAGCTCTTTAATATACTAATTTCCTTTCTTTTGAGTATATGCTTAACAGTGGAAGTTCTGCAGCATATGACAGTTCTACTATGTTAGTTTTGGGGAATCTCCACATTGTTTCCCATAGTGGTGTACTAGTTTACACTCCCACCAACAGTGTACAAGGATTCTCTTTTGCTACATTCTGGCCAGCATTCCTTATTGCCTGTCTTCTGGATAACAGCCATTTTATCCGTGGTGGGATGACATCTCATGGTAATTTTAATGCATTTATCTGATGACCAAGGATGTTGAGCACATTTTCATATACCTGCTTGCCATTTGCATGTCTTCTTTTGAGAAATGACTATTCCGATTTGTTGCTCATTTTTAACTTGGATTATTAGATTTTTTCCCTGTAGAGTTGTCTGAGCTCCTGGTATGTTTCGCTTACTAATCTTTTGTCAAATGAATAGTTTGGAAATATTTTCTCCCATTCTTGGATGGTCTTTTCACTTTGCTTATTGTTTTATTTGCTATGTAGGAGGTTTTTCTTCCTTTTTTTTTTCTTTTCTTTTCCGTTTTTTTTTTTGTTGTTGTTGTTGTTGTTTTGTTTGTTTGTTTGTTTGTTTTGTGGGGAGATGGTGTCTTTCTCTGTGGCCCAGGCTGGACTGCAGTGGCACAGTCTGGGCTCACTGCAACCTCCTCCTCCCGGGTTCAAGCAATTCTCCCGTCTCAGACTCCTGAGTAGCTGGGCCTACACGCGCACGCCGCCACACCTGGCTAATTTTTGTATTTTTAGTAAAGATGAGACCGTGTTGCCCAGGCTGGTCTCGAGCTCCTGAGCTCAGGCAATCCACCTGTCTCAACCTCCCAAAGTGCTAGGATTACAGGCACGAGCCACTGCGCCCAGCCTGTTTCCTTTGCTGTACAGAAGCTTTTTAACTTGATATGATCCCATTTACGCATTTTTATTTTGGTTGCCTGTGGCTGTGGGGTATTACTTTAAAAATCTTTGCCCAGTCCAATATCCTAGAGAGTTTCCCCAGTCTTTTCTCTTACAGTTTCCTAGTTTGAGGTCATAGGTTTAGGTCTTTAATCCATTTTGATTTGATATTTGTGTATGGTGAGAACTAGGGACATAGTTTTATTCTTGCATATGGATATCTAGTTTCCCCAGCACCATTTATTGAAGACACTTGCCTTTACCCAGTGTGTGTTCTTGGTACCTTCTTTGGAAATAAGTTAACTGTAGATATAAGGATTTGTTTTTGGGTTCTCTGTTGTGTTTCATTGGTCTGTGTGTCTGTTTTTATGCCACTACCATGCTGTTTTGGTTCCTGTAGCTCTGTAGTATAAACTGAAGTTAGGTAATGTGATTCCTCTAGTTTTGTTCTTTTTGCTCAGAAGAGCTTTATCTATTCTGGGTTTTTTTTGGTTCCATGTACATTTTAGGATTATGTTTTCTGTTTCTGTGAAGAATGTCTTGGTGTTTGATAGGGATTGCATTGAGTCTGTAGATTGCTTCGGGTAGTATGGATATTTTAACAAAATGGATTCTTCCAATTCATGAACATGGAATATCTTTTTCACTTTTTGTGTCCACTTCAATTTTTTACGTCAGTGTTTTATAATTTTTATTGGTGACAACTTTCACTTCTTCAGTTAAGTTTATTTCTAGGTATTTTATTTTATTTGTAGCTATTGTAAATTGGATTAGTTTTTTATTTCTTTTTCAGATTATTTGCTGTTGGCATGTAGAAATGCTACCGATTTTTGCATGTTGAATTTGAATCTCCAACTTTACTGAATTTGTTCTTCAGTTCTTAGAGTTTTTTGGTGGAGTCTTTAGGTTTTTCCAAATATCAGAGCACATGATCTGCAAACAAGGAAATTTGACTCTTTCTTTTCCAATTTCCATGTTCTTTATTTCCTTCTCCTGTCTGACTGTTCTAGCTAGGACTTGCAGTATTGTGTTGAACACCTATGGTAAAAGTAGTCATCCTTGTCTTGTTCCAGATCTTAGAGAAAGGCTTTCAGTTTTCCCCCATTCAGTACATTACTAGCTGTGAGTTTGTTATATATGGCTTTTATTATATTGAAGTCTGTTCCTTTTATACTGTTTTTTGAGAGTTTTTATCATGAAGGGATGTTGAATTTATCAAATGCTTTTTCAGTATCAATTGAAATGGTGGTATGGTTTTGTCCTTTATTGTGTTGATATGATGTATTACACTGATTGATTTGTGTATGTTAAACCATCCTTGCATACCTGGAATACATTCCACTTGGTCATGAAGATTGATCTTTTTAATGTATTGTTGAATTTTGTTTGCTGGTATTTCATTGACGGTTTTTGCATCAGCGTTCATCAGGGATATAAGCCTGTGGTTTTCTTTTTTTATGTATCTTTGCCTGGATTTGGTATCAGATTCCTGGCTTTGTAAAATGAGTTTGGAAGTATTCCCTCCTCCTCTGTTTTTCAGAACAGTTTGAATAGGCTTGGTATTTCTTCTTCTTTAAATGTTTAATTGTGGTAAGGTGTGCATTACATAAATCTTACTGTTTTAACCACTTTTAAATGTACACTTCAGTGGCATTAGATACATTCACATTTTCATGCAACCCTAAACTCTGTACCCATTAATCAGCATATCCACATTCCTCCTTACCTCTCTCCCCTAGTAACCACCATTCTACTTTTTGTTTCTACGAATTTGACCACTCTAGGTACCTCATTTAAGTAGAATCATGTAATGTTTATCTTTTTGTTTCTGGTTTCTTTCACTTATAATATTTTTGAGGTTCATCCAGGTCAGAATTTCATTCCTCTTAATGATGAATAATACTCATTGTATATACGTACCACATCTTGGTTATCCATTTCTCAGACAATGGACACTTAGGTTACTTCCACGTTTTTGATATTGGCAATTATGCTACTACGATAATGGGAGTCCAAACATTTCCTCATGTTCTTGCTTTTATTTCCTTTAGATGTATACCCAGAACTAGAATTGTTGGATCGTGTGGTATTTCATTTTTCAATTTTTAGAGGAATCGCCACAGTATTTTCCATTTCAGATGTGCCATTTTATATTTCCAGAAGCATTACACAGGGGCTTCAATTTCCCTACCTCCTTGCCAAGCTTTCTCTGTGTGTGTGTGTGTGTGTGTGTGTGTGTGTGTGTGTGTGTGTGTGTTAGATAATAGCCACCTTGATTGGTTTGAAGTGGTTTCTGATTGTGGTTTTGATTTGCATTTTCCTAATGACCACTGATATTGAGCGTCTTTTCATGTGTTTATTGATCATTTGTATATTTTCTTTGAAGAATTGGCCATTCAAGCCTTTTGCCCATTTTTCCCCGACATAGCTTCTCTTGGCTACTTTGCCCATTTTTGAGTGGGTTGACTGTTTTGTTGTTTTTGTCAGACTTCTTTACGTATTCTGGAAACTAATCTCTTATCAGATATGTGATTTGCATATTTATTTCATTTCAGGCATTGATTGCTTTTTCGCTCTAATTGTGCCCTTTGATGCACAGATGTTTTAATTTTCGTGAGTCCAGTTTGTCAGTTCTTTCTATTCTGTCTGTGCTTTGGTGTCACATCCACGAAAGCTCTGTCAAATCCTGTGTCATGAAGATTATCCCCAATGTTTTCTTCTAAGAAATTTTTAAGTTTTAGTTCTTGAGTTTAGAGTTTAGGTCTTTCATTCATTTTGAGTTAATTTTTGTATACAGTGCAAATTAAAGGTGTTATTATACTTTATTTGAACACCCAGTTCCCCTAGCACTATTTGCTGAAAAGATGAACTGACTGTTTGAGACCCTGCCACCTGCCCACCCCGGTGGACACTAGCATCCATGCACTTGCTCTCCTGGGACCTTGTCATGCTGTCATGTCACTCTTCCACTGGGACCCAAGCCCACGCCATTGCTTCCCTCTGGGATACTGACCCCACTATGAACCTCTCTGGGGCTACAACCTTCCTGCCCCTTGTGCCTCATGACCACCCCCTCCCTTGCCCTCACCATGCCCATGATGAGTCTTTTCTCGAAGCAGCTCCCCTTGCCTCCATCTCACCGTCACCTGTGCACCATGGCCACACTGGACATGGGTCCCTCTTAGCCTGAGTTTTTTCCCATTCCCCACCTCCCCTCTGGCAAGACCTTCCTTCCACCACTGCCTTCATGTTTCTCCATTACCCCTGCAGAAGAGCCTCTCCCTGTGGCCCCTATACCCTTGGGGGGGCCTGTGACCACCCAGCCCTGGCACCTGGCGTACAAGCTTGCCATCTCCATTCCCCCTTCTTCCATTCCTCAGTCCCCTCCTCTGTCCTCCCAGCTTCCCAGTTTTCCTTGTATATGAAACCCTCATTCTTATCCCTTTGCCCGTGTGCATTTCCTGCCTCCTCAGGAAGGTCAGGACAGCAGACCCGTGTGTTAAGCATCATGTGAAGTTACTTCCAGGAAGAAGTTTCATCTGTGATTTTCTCTTCCCCAGAGCCCCACAGTCTTCGTTATAACCTCACAGTGCTGTCCCAGGATGGATCTGTGCAGTCAGGGTTTCTCGCTGAGGGACATCTGGATGGTCAACTCTTCCTGCTCTGTGACAGGCAGAAATGCCCAGCAGTGCCGCAGGGACAGTGGGCAGAAGCAGTCCTGAGAGCTGAGCCCTGGCACACAGAGATCGAGGACTTGATAGAGAATGAGAAGGACCTCGAGATGACCCTGGCTGATGAAAAGTGGCAGAAAGGAGGTGAGAGTGGGCAGGGAGGGGCAAAAGTGACGGGAGAGGCCTTTTCCAGAAAATTTAAGGGCAGAGAGCAGGGACCTGTCTCTTTCCACTGGATCTGGCTTTGGCTGGAGGTGGGAAAGGGGGATCAGTGGAGCTCAGCAGGGAGGTGAACCACCACTCAGCCAGCACAGGGAGGCACGGAGGAGAGCCAGGAAGGGGTCCCCGCTGGGCTGAGTTCCTCACTTGGGTGGGAAGGTGAGGGGTTCAGGAATGGAGAAGTCACTGCTGGGTGGGGGCAGCTTTGCATTCCCTCCAGGAGATTAGACTCTGTGAGATCCATGAAGACAACAGCACCAAGGGCTTCCGGCATTTCTACTATGATGGGGAGCTCTTCCTCTCCCAAAACCTGGACACTCAGAAATGGACAGTGCCCAAGGCCTCCACAGCTCAGGCCATGGCTGCGAACATCATGAATGTCTGGAATGAAGATGCCCTGAAAGCTGGCACTGTGCTGGCAGACTGCCTTTGGAAACTACGGCGATATCTGGAATCTGGGGCAGGCGTCAGGAAAACAGGTGTCGACCCTGGGCAGGGGCTCTCCTCTCCCCACAGTGCTGCTAGAGTTGCCTCATCCCCCAGCTCTGACCAGGGAAACCTGCCCAGTGCTATGGTTGCAGGCGTTTCCTCTTGACATATTGTGTACTGATTTTCCTCTCCTGTCAGAGCCAGTGGATAAAGACAGTGGGTCTGGGAGTGAATCATCCAGTGTTGGAACCTGGGAAAGCAGGGGATCCTCCGACAGAATCCTGAGCCTGGGGCGGGTGTCAGGCAGGAGAGGAAGCCTTCAGGGACAGGGCTGCCCCATCTGCCTCCCAGCCTGCCCATCCCAGAGTTTCCTCCCTCCTGGCCCCAGACCCAGGAGTCCACCCCTTACATCCCCCTCCTCAGCATCATTGTGGGGATCCCAGAGCTTCAGGCCACAGTCCCGAGGCCCATCCTCCTGTCAGCGTAGAGGAATTGGGTCCCAGGGTGAGGACAGACTTACAGAAGGTCCAGGGTCTGTGAGTGCTTCAGCCAGAGTGGGAACAGTGGAGAGGAGCAGCTCTGTTCCCTGCATCTCCCTTAGAGGGGAGCAGGGCTTCACTGACTCTGCGCTTTCTTCCCAGTGCCCCCCATGGTGAAGGTCACCCGCAGTGAGGATTCAGAGGGCAACATCAACGTGACATGCTGGGCTTCCGGCTTCTATCCCCGAAATATCACACTGACCTGGCGTCAGGATGGGGTATCTTTGAGCCACAACGACCAGCAGTCGGAGGGTGTCCTGCCTGATGGGAATGGAACCTACCAGATCCGGGTGACCATCAGGATTCGCCAAGGAGAAGAGCAGAGGTTCACCTGCTACATGGAACACAGTGGGAATCACAGCACTCACCCTGTGCCCCCTGGTGAGCCTGGGGCGACCCTGGAGAGGGTCAGCTGTGGCTCTCTGCCCAGTGTATAACAAGTGCCTTTTTTCAGGGAAGGTGCCGGTGCATGAGATTCAACAGCCAGCCAGTCCACATGTTCCTGCTGCTGCTGCTCCTGCTACTGCTCCTGCTCCTGCTATTATTGCTGTTGCTATTATTGCTGTTATTATTCTTCACTGCGAACTTCATTGAGAGAAGAGAACATTACCTGCAGAGGGTCCAGGTGAGAAAAGGGGTCAGTGGCTGGAGATGGGAGGGCTCCTGTCTGGGTACTAGGGTCCCCTCATTACTCCTGCACAGATAGGCATGTAGGACCAGGCTTCTGGAACAGGTGTTGGAAGATGGGGTATTTGGGAGGGGAATGGGAGCCACATCTCCATCTACACCCCTAAATCCTTCCTAAGTTAGGGCTGGGGAAAGCCCTCAAATGTCTAGCTGTGGCCTCTTCCTGCTGCAGGTGAGGAGTGGCCAGCAGGGATGGCACCTGCTCTGTCCTCATCCCGGTCTCTCTGTCTCTCGGGCTCCCTAGGGCGCGTCCAGGAGGGGTGAGTTGGGAAGCACATGAGGAGTGCAGAGGGCCTGGATGATCACAGCCTCAGAGGGAGCAAATAGTAAAGGCAGCTGTCATCTGGGGAGGGCTAGAAACTGGAGAGGAATCCGAGGGGAGGTGGTGCCCCTAGTCCCTTCCTCTCTGCATCCCTCTCCCCTGTTTCTCCAGCCATTTGGTGGGGGAGACACCAAGGAAAAGATATATGAGGCCCGGACTGGGGGCCCTGCCTGTGCAGACCCTTGGAGGCCCTCTTGTAACAAGGAGGGTCCTGGTCGCACGCGGCCATCTCTGTCCACTTTGCAGCTCCCCATGCATCTCCTTCAGGAGCTGCCTGGGGGTGTCATGTCCTCTGTGTCACTCGAGGCCATGCTCTTTCCAGGTTCCCACCACCTGGCCTCCCTGAGTTTCCATGCAGATGATATACATGAGTAAATAATCAGATGTCCGTGGGCCATTTGAGAAGCGGGGCCCAGCCCCTCATCAGGGCAGCTGCGGTCCCTGTTCTCATCCTACCTCCAAGTATTTTCTTTTCCAGTCCCTGAGGGACACAGTCCCCAGGGACCATGTTTCTGGGGCTTTGTCCTTTGCTCTGTGGCCTGACTTTACCCTCCCTGAATCTATTTCCCCTGCTCAAGGTGGTCACTGCCTGGTAAGTTTGGAGTAAGGGACCGTCAGAATCATTTCCCCCACAGGGTATGAAAGCCATGTGCCAATGTCTCAAAATTCCTGCTTTCAATGTTGATGTCCCATAAAGATGTTCATAATTTCAGGTCTATGATCGTGATAGAATTTCCTCCAATACTGATGTTGTAAAGCATACTAAATGAAACAGGAACTCAAATTTGGAGCTCCCTCTCCAGGAGGGTCTGTGTGGAAGATGGTGGCTGTGGCAGTGGCAGTTCCCAGGTGCAGAGGGTGGACAGAGGCAGCCTCAGGCTAAGGGGTTCCCCCTACTCTACATGGAGAAAATCCCTTGTGGGTTGCCAGGGCAGTGTCCTGGGTGGAATCCCTGCTAGGGACAGAGCAGGAAGGCCTCGCAGCCTCACCAAGCAGCAGCCCTGGGGTGGAGCTGCTTTTCCAGGGGTAAGTGGACCAGGCAGGAGCAGCGGTGACTCAAGAGCAGGTCACAGGCCTGGGTGGGTGCTGAGGGTCAGGGGAAGACAGGCCTCCTGAAGCAAGCTGGGGGTCCCAGGGTCAGGTGCCAATCCTGTGGCAGCCACGTCTTTCCATGCTGAGCCTGCTGGGCACCCTCAGGCTTCTTGGTGGGGTTCCCAGTTAAGAGCTGCCAGCTCTGGGCTGGGAGGGGAGTAACGCCAAGCCACAGATAGAGGGCAGAGCCCACGGTGGGCAGGGCCTGCCCGGGTGTGCAGGTGCCTCTGCAGGAGAGGAGGGCCTGGGGACTGAGGGCAAGGGTCAGGGCCTCTCTTTGGGGAGGCCTCACTGTAACAGGACTGGTCAGGCCTGAGAGGAAGGGAGGGCACTGGGTTCCCTCTTGCATCTTGTCCTTTAGTCTTGGGCCCCTTTAACTCCCTGCCCGATGGGTGGTGGGCACAAGGCAGGTGCTGATGTTGATGGAGTGATGGGAGGGAACTGGCAGGGGCTGGGAAAAGCTGGGTGGGAGGAAGAAAAATGCAAGGGCCTAATTTTCCCTCTGAGAAAGGGAGAATCTGATTTTGGAGCAACTGAAGAGAGAAAAGTCCCTGGGGAATAAACACAACACTCTGCACCCAGTGGAGCATTCACCGGTTTCTCTCTTTTCTCCAGAGCTCGTGAGCCTACAGGTCCTGGATCAACTCATGGTTGGGACAGGAGACCACAGGGATGCCACGCAGCTGGGATTTCAGCCTCTGATGTCAGCTCCTGGGCCCATTGGCTCCACTGAGGGCACCGAGAATCTGCAGCCAGGCGGCTAGGACGCAGCTCCCTGCCTGGGTCTCACCAGCACCTTCCATCTTGGTGCCTCAGTTCCCTGGCCTATGTAGCAGAGAACATAACACTATTTATTTCTTGTTGTCGGAGGCTGCGAAATGTTAGTAGGCATGAGGAGTTTGCAGCTGTGCCATATTAGTTGGTATCATCATTTCCATTGTTTCTGTATTATTATAATTTTTTTTTTTTTTGAGACCAAATCTCACTCTTTCACCCAGGTTGGAGTTCAGTGGCATGATCCTGGCTCACTGGAACCTCTGCCACCCCAGCTCAAGCAATTCTTGTACCTCAGCCTCCCGAGTAGCTGGGATTACAGACACAAACCACCACATCCGTCTAATTCTAGTATTTTTCATAGAGACCGGGTTTCGCCATGTTAGCCAGGCTGGTCTCAAACTCCCCACCTCAGGTGATCTGCCTACCTGAGCCTCCCAAAGCGCTGGGATTACAAGCATGAGCCACTGTGCCCAACCTATTTTATTATATTTTAATATATTACATGTACAGTAATTAGAACATCATAGGTGAGCTTTATGAGTGAGTGTCTTGGTGATGACTCCTCCTGACGAGCCTAGGACCAGCTTTCTTGTCACCTTGAGGTCCCCTCACTCCCTTGTCACAGTCCTATGCATTACTCCATGTCTACTATGTGTACATAATTTTATACTATAGATGTTTACTGTTTAAATAGACATTTCTGGTCTGTGTTTTATTTCATGCGTCTGGGAGTGGATAAAGTGTGAGGTTCAGGGGACAAGGAGAGGTCTGTCTCAACGCCTTGACACAGCATGAAAACAGTCTCCCCTCCTCATCCCCTTTCCCTGCTAGTTTCTGATGACCCACAGATTCACAGCAGAACAGAAAGGGCTGTGAAATCATGGAGGTGGGATATCTGGCGCTAACATTCAGGGGCTGACCTTGTGGGGGAACATCTGCCCTGAAAAGCGGGAGACTGCATGTGATGACACAGAGCTGAAGTGTGACATCAGGGAGGGGATAGAGAGTGCTTCCAGGTTTTCTGACTTTGAAGAATTTGGGTCAGTCAGGTTCTGGTGTAAAGTGACTGCTGGGGAGGTGTGGACTGAATTAATGAAGAACAAATGAACCAGGAAAGCGGATGAGCAAGAGGTGGGATATTCCCCACCCTGTTTCTTGATGCCTACTGACTGCTGGTCTTGGGGCACACAGATGGGTGCTGCACTTCTTGCTCAAGGCAACCTCAGTCCCACCCACTTCAGGCAGTCCTGGCAGAGAGCGTAAGGGTGACAGACTCAAGGTGGAGATGGGAGTCCTCCTTGCAACAGGAGTGGATCCAGGACCCGCCTGGAAGCAAGAGAAGGATGAGGGACTCTAGTTGCTCCTGTTTCCTCCCACTGCCTGGGTTCCCAAGGTAACCAGTAAGGGAGCTGGGGTAGGGAATTCATTCATGTGCTATGTATTTATCCAGAGACGTGTGTATTGACATTTTCTTCTATGCTTTTATTCAGGGTTGATGTCATTCACACATTTATGCATTTATGATATATATTTAATAGTCTTGTATATTTTGGTTAACACGCATCACTTGTTGAATTCAGTTCTCAATAGGTATAAATTTTCATATTCATTGCAGTTTTTGTTAATCAAAGTTTAATTGCCCATAATTAAAAACATCAAATATTTGCAAAGGATTTCTCTAGAGAAATGAGTCCTCTCTGCATCTTCTCAACTTCTGCCTTCCTAGAGGCAACCATTTTCCACCTTTTTAGCTAAGTCTTTCAACTTTTACTTCCATATGTCTAAATACAGCTCCTTCATTAATACTGCTTGGTTTTCAGTTGCAGCCATTGTCTGTTGCACAGCACAGTGGCGAATGCAGTAGTTCATCGTCCCTGTTCCCTTGCACTCTTCCCATGCTTTCACCTTCCCGATGTATTTCTATAGGAATTATGTTTAGTTCAGCCATTCCTTGTTTCTTTTTCCACGACTAATTTTCTCATGTCAGCTTGACCACTTTTCACTTTCTGAACATTTGTTCTTTCTTTAGTTAACATTTGCCTTTGTTTTTGTTTATTTTATACACAGCACTCATTAAACTTGGTATTTCTTCTATTTGTATTACTCTTTTAAGAAGTTACAGACTTTGGATATTCCACTTTACCTTCTTGGAAATGTCCCTACTGGGCTTTCCGGCAGCTCCCATCTGGAGTACAGGCTTCTACCTGTGGAGCACAGTCACCACCCTAGGATCTCCCTCCACCACCATATGGGACGGTGCTTTACATGCAGTGGAGCCACCTGGGGTTCTGCCAAATGCAGACTGATTCAAGATGTCAAGCTGGGGCGTATGAGTCTTTTGTGCAGTTTCAGGAGGTGCTGATTGTGCTGCTTCATGGTTGTGTTATGTGTGTTTCTGTGTGTGTGTGTGTGTGTGTGTGTGTGTGTGTGTTTGTTGCTATTGTTTTTTATATAGGAACAGGGTTTCACCTTGTTAGCCAGGCTGGCCTCAAACTCCTGACCTCAGGTGATCTGCCCGCCTCAGCCTCCCAGTGTGCTGGGATTACAGATGTGAGCCCCCACGCCCGGCCACGTTTGTGTTTAGAGAGAGAGAGACAGAGACAGAGACAGAGAAAGAGAGAGAGAATCTTGCTCTCTAAGCCAGGCTGGAGTGCAGTGATGCCATCATAGCTCACTGCAGGCTCCACCTCATAGGCTCAAGTGACCCTCCCACCTCATCCTCCTGGGTAGCAAGGACCACAGGCCACATCCTAACTGATGCACTTTTTTTCTAAATTAGTAACAGGTCTAAGCATTTTTTCATTGTGGCAAAAAATACATCACATAAAATTTACTATCATAACCATTTTTAAGAATACAGTACCATAGGACATGTGTGGTAACTCATGCCTGTAATCCCAGCTATTTGGGAGGCTGAGGCAAGAGGATCACTAGAGGCCTGGAGTTCAAGACCAGCCTGGGGAAAATAGTGAGACCCTGTCTCTACCAAAAAAAAATTAAATAAAAATATACAGTACTATAACAGTATTAACTGTAAGCTCATGGCGGTGCAACAGATCTCTAGAATATTTCACCTTAAAAGCTGAAACTGGGTGCCCATTACACAAAAACGGCTCACTGCCTGTAGAAGTTTTCCCTGACAACCACCATTCTACTTTTATGTTCATCAAGTTAGACTGTTTCAGACACCTCATATATGGAAGTATGCAGTTCTTGGAGGCTTTTTTTATTGGCTTATTTCACTTAGCAATGACCTCAAGTTTCATATATGTTGCAGCATATAACAAAATTTTCTTGTGTTTAATGTTGAATAATATGCCGTTGCCTGTGTATAGTCACATTTTCTTGACCTAGTCCTCTATTGATAGACATTTAGGTTGCTTCCATATCTTGCCTGTTGTGAATAACACCACTATGAACATGGATATGCAATCTTTGTTTTTACTTTTGTACCCCTCCCTCATTTGGGTGCAATTAATCTTTTAGTAGCTTTTTCTGAAAGCACAAGTTGAAAGTAGTTTGTGTGTTTCAACATATCTGCTAATATGTTGCCTCTCTCCAGGAAGAGGAAAGAAATGTATTCAGGTGCTCTTTGACACAGCATTTAATGGTAAAGAAAGAAACAGTATAACTGGCCAGTGCTGAGTCTCCGCATCCTGCGATTTCAGAACTACTGTGAATACAAACTAAAAAAGGTCCTTCCCAGAATAGGAGTCACTCCTGTATGTGGTGGCCCTGGAACCGCAGACCTTCCCTGCCATACCTCTTCCATGAAGATCCTTTCTGCAGTGACTGCGGTGGTTTCCTATTTCACTCGACCCAGTGTCCTGACCCAAGAGACAAGATGTGCCTGCAGCTGTGCCCACACTTGGAGGAAATCTCGATGGTGTCAGTACATGATGACATTTGCTCATTATGGGTTATTTTATTATTTATTAAATATGTATTTTGATTGTATTTTATTGGCCGCACAATAAACCAGAACACAGTGAACCTAGAAATCATATCCGCTTTCTTGTGTCCAAAAGTTCTTCCCAGGGAGGTGACAAAAAGACAGTCTTGTTAGAATTGAGGATCCAGGGAGAGCCAGACAGGCTGGGCAGAAGGGTTTTTATTTGGAACCTGGAGGATAAGCAATAACCTCTCACCACCCTGAAGCAGAGTGCCAGCACCCACCTCCTGGGTGCAAGGGCAGCATGGTCCATGCTCTCCCTGTCCCATATCAAATACAGCCCTGAGATCTGCTCATCTTTCTCATCTGGGATTTCTGCATTGAACACTTCCCTTAGTCAACTTTCCTGCAAAGCAGAAAAACATGAAGTTGGACCATGTTGGAGGAAGAATGGTGTCATCTTCACCTCTGGAGAGATCTCTGTCACTGTGTTCAGGGAAAGGACCAGCCTCACTCCCCATGCAGAGAGGAGACTCTGGCTGTGATCCGGCCTGTGGAGGGATGAGGACCTGCTCCCTCTACAGTGATGGTCAAGAACCTGCAGGTGACAGGAAAGGCTTCCTCTCAGCATGTTCTTCCAGGCATCAAGGAATAGACCTGGGACATTTCCTCCAGTGACATGACCACACCCAGAAGTGAGGTGGCCCTGCCAGGGGCTCCTGGGGCTGCCACTTCTTTTGGGAGCTCAGTGTCTGGAGAGTGGAGTGGAGAGCAGGCTTTGTGCAAAACATAACCATGACCTCTAAATTATTTTATGCTTCATTAGCTTTTTTGTCATAAAATACAACAGGCACCAAAAAGAAAACCTGTCTGAAAATGTTGCCCTTTAATCAAAGGTAAACATGCTTTAACCACCAGAGAGTTTGTCAGCCACCCCAGGAAACCCCATCATCTGCCACAGCTCAGTGATAAATTCTTCCCTCCCCCACATAAAATCACAGCCTGACTTTTAGGATCATCACTTCTTTGTTCTATTTTATATTTTCATCATAAAAAAGTGTAGCTTAGTTTTACCGTGGTGTATTTTTTAGTGTTTGTTCTTTTTTTATA